GTCACAGGCTGTAGCACCCATTACGAACTTCAAATACGACATCTCAAACAATTTCGGTGGGTTTTGTACCTAAACTAGTCAAAATACCGAATATAGGGAGGTCATGATATATGGGGCCTATACGAAGACCTGGACCTGCACAGACAATTTTCTGTCTTAGGCTGTAGTATCCATTTCGAACTTCAAATACCAAATTTGAAACAATTCCGGTGAATAATGTCGCTAACATCATCAAAATACCGAATATCGGATGGTACCGTTATATGGGGGCTATACGAAGACGTGAACCTGCACAGATAATTTGCTGTCTTAGGTTGTAGTATCCATTTCGAACTTCAAATACCAAATTTGAAACAATTCCGGGTTAGAATGTCGCTAAAATCATCAAAATACCGGATATAGGGAGGTACCGTTCAAAGGGGGTTATACGAAGACGGGGACCTGTACAGATAATTTTCTGTCTTAGGTTGTAGTATCCATTTCGAACTTCAAATACCAAATTTGAAACAAGTCCGGGGAATAATGTCGCTAAAATCATCAAAATACCGAATATCGGGAGGCACCGTTATATGGGCGCTATATGAAAACGTGGACCTACATAGCCCATTTACGAACTTAACCTGCCTACTGGAAAAATAAACATGTGTGCAAAATTTTAGCCTTCGATCTCAATTCGTTCGAAAGATAGCGTGGTTACAACAGACAGACAGACAGACACACGGACGTCGCTAAATCGTCTTAGAATTTTACGCTGATCAAGAATATATATAGCTTGGTGGGTGTAACGTGAGTATTTCGAGGAGTTACAAACGGAATGACAAAGTTAATATACCCTCCATAGTATGGTGGAGGGTATAACAAGATGAGTGGTAAAGTAAGAATCTCCATAGGAAAATTTCGGTCCTTCTAGGAACCTAAGTACTATCAAGTCATGTCTAGCTTCTTGGGAATGTCTTTTTTTTGTGGGAGGTTGGTTTTGATGGCAGACTTGTTTTTTTTAAGAATACATTTTTACGGAGTATCTGGACTGCGAAAATTAATTTCTAAGGAATATTTTGTGAGGAACCACTTGAGCCGCAAACGTGGATTTTCAAGCAATAATTTCTCAGAGTCTACCTTAGCCCCAAAGATGATTTCTTAAAGAACTCTTTTTGAGGGACTATCTGGATTTTAAGATTTTTCAAGCGATTATCTGAGCCGCCAACATGAATTTCTAAAGAAGACTTTTTGAGAAAACACATGGGCCGCAAATGTGAATTAAAAAAAAAATCGAAAACTTCTATACTCCAAACATGAGTTTTTAAGCACATATTTTTTTAGGGATCATCAGAACCACCGAGGAAGGATGGGCATTTATGAGGGGTATTTTGAGACGCAAATTCAGATTTTTAAACAGATCTTGAACCGCACACAAAGACTTTGAAACATTGATTTTTAAATATTTTTGCTTTGTAGAAGAAATAGAGAAATTCTCTGATGGTCCTCTCTGTATAAGGCTTTTTAAAGGATTTCTACATGTGGAAGAAGATCTAAATCAGTAGGAGGCCTTTGAAGGTTTCATGTTTATCTGCAAAAGACCTATGTAAAAAATTCTTTGTAGGAATTCCTTAGTGAGGACAATAAAACCGACACGAATTATGACCTTCACACGGCCAATGAAACCGACACACGCTGCCCGAATGTTGCTTTGCGGAATTTTGGTCCATTTCCGGCGAAGCTCTTACTTGAGGTGATCGATACTTTGGTATTTTTTAGTGCCAACCTTGCTTTCCAAAATGCACCAGACGCCAACGGATTGGTATCCGAAGATTTTGGTGGCTATTGTGCGCTGGAAATGAAGCGAGGAACCTTATTTTGAAACCATTCTTGGGTGGGGCCAGCTGAGTGCGATGGTGTTGAGTCCTGTTGGAATGTCCAAGGTCGGCGGCTAAAATTTTTCCGTGCCTAAGGCTTTAATATTCGGCATTTATTCTGATGCCACGGTTTATTAGTACGAGCGGATAGAGATCATCGGCTGTTATGGCGGTCCACACCATCACCATGTCCGGCGCTAGAGTTCTAGTGGCCAGACGAAGGTGCACATTTTCAGCTGACCTCTTTGGCAAGTAAACACGATCATTTTGTTTGTTTACAAACTGCTGGACAACGAATGTTTTCTCATCGGAGAAAACCAAATTCGGCAGTTCACCACTTTCGGCCAAGCGAAGCAACTCTTTAGCTCTTTTGAGTCTATTTTCTTTCTGTTGCGGTGTAAGTTCTTGCAATTTTTGGAATTTCAATGACTTTACCCCGAGCTCATTTTTCAATATTTTCCGAATGGAATATTGCGATATGTTCAGCTCATAAGCCATTTTTCGGCCACTGCGACTAGGGTTTCGATCAAGTCGCTTCTTTACTTTTCGAACCATTTCTTTCTCAAGTCGCTGTTTTCTTCCGTCCACTTCCTTGACATTGGGCGACGCTACTAGTATCACGGTAACGAGCGATGGTACGAGACACAAAAGATTTATTCATATTTAAATGCTGGAGTGCTCTAACGATTGCCACTTAGGGTTTTCCAGCCAAATATAAAGAAATCATACTATCACGCTTGAATTCCATCACGAATAACTTTTGTGTCTGGAAAATTCTCACCAAAATGCTTTTGTACGCTTATAAACAATATAATGAGCTGCCACTGGAATAATTTTAACGGCTGTCGGACGAGTGGCTTAGAAATAACAGCAGTCTGAAGTTGTTTGCAATTTTTTTTATCTCACACTGTATGTCCGGAAAAAACTTTCTTGAAATACTTTCCGGATGACTGAAACCCAAGAAAATTATGGTTATTGTTGAATTTCACCACTACCACTATTGGTAGACAAAACCAAAAGTTTATATCGTTCTCCAGTTTTGGGCAAATGGAGGATCGAATCTCAGTCATGATCAGAGAAATAACGCATCAGGAGAGGACCGGACAGATTATCGATGATAACATTAAAACACCGTGACTCTCCCACCATAGTTCTCAGTCTATCGCAAACCATCCACACTGTTTACGAACCCTGGAAAATGGATAGACAGTTGGTCCCCCAACTGCTATCCGACAAGGATGTCAGCAACGGTGGATCATATCATAGGAATAAAGACTCTAGAGTCATTTCGACCGTTACATATCTCCAAGTTTAATAAAATATTCCGTAAGGAAGGAAAAATTCAAAAAGAAACAGGAGGAGCTAGAGACTAGAAGATTTGTATACAACACTAGCAAATGCTTTGTTGGTCCTAATTGCCGACAATTCGACATGGCAACGACAATAACGACATGGCAACGACTAAAAGAGTTATCCGCAAGAATAGGATCTGCCTGATCCAGAGCAAATTTTGCTTCCACTCTAAAACGAAAAAGGTATTCGCTCTTATTCGAGCCACACGAAAAATAGAATATAATTGAGTTTTTGCTCCCAGGAGTGCTCTCGCTCTAATTCGAGTGAATTTTTCTCTTTATTTGAATTTGAAAAATTCAAAAATCAGAATTTTTGTGAAAATTCTAAATTCCTTTTAAATGATTAGACTTTCACCGGCAATGGTTCTTGAAAAATTACCCTCTTGTATAACCAAATAATTTTTTGTCATAGTACCCATTATGAACTTTAAGTACGAAATTTGGAACAATTCCATTGAATAATGTCTCTAATATCATCAAGATACCGAATACGAATACATTAAAAATTGTTGGCATAGGTTTAAGTACCAATTCCGAAATTCTAATACGAAAATTGACACACCTCCGGTGAATAATGTCTCAAAAATCGTCAAAAGCCCGAATATCGGGAGGTATCGTTCTATGGTGACTATATAAAAACGTGGACTGGCAAGTAGTTTTTTTGTCATAGGTTTGAGTTTCTTCGCAGATAAAAGTATTGAGAATTGTGACCCTTTGTGGATGAGGTACCAGAAAGGGTTCGCAGATATATAATGTCTTCACAACAGATCTTATGTGTGAAATTTGAAGATAGTGGGATGCTTATTTCGCTTTCTTTGAGCGTTTTGTTTTACAAAATCTTGAACCCTATGTGGGATAGTTACCAGAAGGTATGGTCCGATTTCTACCGTTTTTATAACAGATTCAGTGTAGATAGAAATATTCAGATGTGCCAAGTTTAAATGGTATCGGATGGTAATTTCGTGTTTTATGAGCTTCGTGGATATTCAAAATGTTAACCCTTTGTGGGGCAAGTTCCAGAAGGAGTCGACCGATATATTGCATCTTCACACCAGATCTGTGGTTGATATTGGGATGTGTGAAATTTGAAGACAATCGGACTCTAACATCACATTTTATAAAGGTTATAACTGTTCAAAATTTGTACCCTTTTTGTGGGGGAGGTACTTGATACAGTAGACCCATATTATCCATTTTCGCACCTGACCTAGCACTGATGCAAATATTAAGATTCGCAAAGTTGGAGCAAAATCGAATTATACTTAATTTTTCGGTGCAGTAAATTATATTCTTTGAAAATTTTGACATTTTCTGTGGGAGGTACCAGAAGAAGTGGACCGATATTGCCCATCTCCGAACTCGACCTAAGTTTGACAAAAATATTAGTTTGGATCAAATCGGATACTCCCTTCGAAAGTTATTGTGCGCACCAGCCAAACAGACAGACGGACGGACGGACATTGCTAGATCGACTACAAATGTCCTGAAACGTACTTGGTCCAAAGAGATCTAGGGTCTAAAACCGTTATTTCGATGAGGCACGTTTTGGCCGTATCAAATGATATATACCCTCTCTAGCCATATGGCTATTTGGTATCCTAGAGGTGTATACCACAAGCAGTAGGATTACGTTCTTTACGTATTCAGATACATACTATCATATGATACAAAATATAATACCAAAATAAAAATTTAGAAATACCCTGAACATTTTTGAAATTTTCTTGGAAGATTCTTCCCCGATGCACATTTCGAATGGAGAACAACCATCCGTTCATCCATCCACATTACATACCTCATGAGCCCAGGCCTCGGCATTCAATTTGGCAGCAGCATCGACACTTTCTTTGTTACCCATGATGCGTTGTGGCTTTTGTCCTTGTGTGCGTGTATATGTGACGGTAACTGCTGTTCTCCTTGTTGTTGCTGCCGCTGATACTTTGTTGTAGTAAAAGTTAAGTTCTCAGTGGTGGTTGCCTTGTTCAGAGAGAGAGGAGAGGAAAGAATTTGCTACTGTCGTTGTTTTCTTTACTTTGTGTGGTTGTTATTTCTCTGCTACTGCTGTTGTTGTTGTTGCTTCTCCTTTCGTCTTCTGGTTTGTTATCGTTTGCAAGTGACTTGGCGAGTACGGGCGTGAGTGAGTATTAGTAAATATCAGTTGTTGGGATGACTTGAGGTATATTTAAACGAAACACTTTAGAAGTTGGATAATTTAGTTTAGCGGGTTTCTCTCTTTTTTTTTTTTGCTACGTTCTCGTTCTATTTTTCGTTTAGTTTTCTTGATTTTTGTTGTTGTTTTACTTCTGAGGGTTTTCTTGGGGTTTCCGTTTAATTAGTGATGAGTGAGTGTAAGTTTTAGTTTCAGTTTGGGTTGGGTTTTGTTTTTCCTATTTCGAAATTGTCGAAGTTTTAGTTTTCAGTGATTTTTTTTACTTCTTTTTGTTGCTGCTGTTGTTTTTGTCGGTATTTTGTGGTTATCTTTCTAAGCCGCGATACGAAATGCAATATTTTGTTCTACCTGTGAGTTAGTCGGGGTCTTATTTTTCGTTTTTTGATAAAATGTAATTAATATTGGGGAAGAAATAAATTGAGGTGTTAAATTATGTTTTTTGAAGTTGCGAGATTCAATTTTCGTAGTTTTTAGAAAAGTTCAGTGCAGTTTTTATATCTCACTTTGTTTTTGGTTTTGTTGTAAATTTTTGTTATTAGTTGTTTGGGATAAATATTGGAGATGTTTTGTTTTTAAGAAACGGGAGGAACATATCACCTGAGGGGGGAGGGAGGAACATATCAAAATGTAGTAAAAGTATATCTTGGATAGAAGAGTTATGACACAAATACGGGACAGAGATATGACAAAGCAGATGTGCGAAGATCTTCTGTGATTTACAGGTCTTCTTTGTCCAAAAAACCTCTTCTCTGGCCAGAAGACCTCTTACAAGTCTTCTCCGGCCATGAGACCGACAAAAGACCTCATTCAGGTCTTCTCTGATCGGAAGAGCTTTTACAGTTATTATCCGGCCAGATAACCTCTCTCCTCGGCCAGAAAACTTCTTACACGTCTTCTTTGCTAGGAGATCTGTTAGAAGCCTTCTCCAAACCAAAAACCTCTCTTACAGGTCTTTATACAAAAAAAACCTCTTGTCTGGCCCGAAGACCACTTACAAGTCTTTTCCGGCCATGAGACCGACAAAAGACCTCTTTCAGGTCTTCTCTGATCGAAAGAGTTTTTACAGTTATTATCTTGCAATATAACCTCTTACAGGTCTCCACGTCTTCTTTGCCAGGAGATCTGTTAGAAGCCTTCTCCAACCAAATACCTCTCTGGCCAGGATATTTCTTACAAAACTTATATGGCCAGAAGATATCTTACAGGCCTTCTTTAAGCAAAAAAATTCTTAGAGATATTCCATAACAAAAACAACACTTCACATAGATCTTCTCTGGCCAGAAGACCTCATACAGGTCATCTCTAACCAGAAGACCTCTTACATGTTCTCTTTGACCAGAAGACCTATTACACGTCTCTTTGACCAAAAATCTCTTACATGTTCTCTTTGGCCAGATGACCTCTTACAAGTGCTCTTCATCTCTAACCAGAAGACCTCTTACATGTCCTCTTTGACCAGAAGACCTATTACACATCTCTTTGACCAAAAAATCTCTTACAGGTTCTCTTTGGCCAGATGACCGCTTACAAGTGCAGATCTTCTATAACACAAAAAAAAAAACTCACACAGGCAATCACACAGATCTTTTCTGGCCAGAAGACCTTATACATGTCAGACCAGAAGACCTATTACAGGTCTATTTGACCAAAAAAATCTCTTATAGGTTCTCTATGGCCAGATGACCTCTTACAGATCCTCTTTTGCCAGAAAATTTCTTATAGATAGTCGTTTCTAGCCAGAAAAACTCTTGCAGATCTTCTATAACCAAAAAGACCCGCACAGGTCTTCTTCTTTTTCAAATCTCCTTTGGCCAGAAGATCACTTACAGGTCTTTTATGGAAACATCTTACAAGTCATCTTTGTCCAGAAGACATCTGATATATGTCTTATCTGACTAGACCTCTAATAGGTCTCTAAGGGGAACTTTTAAGGGTCTTTTATGGACCTTTTAAATGTCGTTTCTAGCCAGAAGGCTTCTTGCAGATCTTCTATAACCAAAAAAAAAAAACCCACACAGATCTTCTTCTTTTCCAAGTCTCCTTTGGCCAGAAGACCACCTACAGGTCTTCTCTGAAAACATCTTACAAGTCATCTTTGTCCAGAAGACATCTGATATATTTCTTATCTGACTAGACCTCTAATAGGTCTCTAAGGGGAACTTTTAAGGGTCTTTTATGGATATAAAACCTCTTGTCGGTCGTCAAAGGCTAGAACACCTTTCTTTTATGGCTTGAAGACCTTTAACAGGCATTCTATGGCTAGAAGATGACCACCTACAGGACTTCTAGGGCTTGAAGGCTTTTTACAGGTCTTATACCAGGAGATCTCTTACAGGTCTTCTCTGGCCAGAAGGTATCTTGGTAAGGTATCCACATACACTCTTCTGACAAGAAAAAAATCCGGCTGCAAAATGTTATGTTATGTTAATGAATCTAAAGGTATAGTTCTTTTGTGAACTGAAGACCTTACAGGTCTTTTATAGCTTATTTTTACAGGTTTCCTATACACAGAAGAAAATTTACAGGTCTTACATGGCCAGTAGACTTTTTATAGGTCTCATCAAGAGAGAAGACATTTTACTGGTCTTTATGGACAGGAACTTTTACAGGTCCTCTCTGGACAGCAGACCTTTGACAGGGTTTTCTATGGACAGAAACCCTTCAGGAAATCTCTTACAGAACTTTTCTTGTCTTCTAAAGATAGAAGACCTTTTCGTGTTTTCTTTTATATGTCTTCTATAGAGACAGAGGACCTTTTACACGTCTTCCATAGCAATAAGACCTTTTACAGGACTTCCATATACCGAAGACCTTTTACAGGTTTTCTATAGATGGAATACCTTTTACAAGTCTTCTGTAGGAAGAACACCTTTTACAGGACTTTTGTAGACAAAATACCTGTTTTTATTGGATTTTCGGTAGTTATACCATCAGCCATATGGCTATCTTTTGATACGGGCAACACGTGTCTCATCGAAATAACGGTTTTAGACTAGGTCCCTTTGGACCAAACCGTTTTAGGTCAATTGGAGTCGATCTAGCGATGTCCGTCCATTTACCTGGCTGGTGGGCACGATAACTCTCTCTCACATCGTAATATTATTATCAAACATAGATCGAGTTCGGAGATGGGCAATATCGGTCCACTCCTTCTGGTACCTCCCCCACAAAAGGTCAACATTTTGCAAAAATATTTTACTCCAACTTTGGAAATCCTGATATTTGTACAGAGCTAGGTCAGTTGCGAAAATGGACAATATCGGTCCATTCCATCAAGTACCTCCACCACAAAGTGTCAACATTTTGAACAATTATAACCCTTATAAAATGTGATGTAAAAGTCCAATTGTCAATTACACACATCTCATTATTTTTGTTAAACCAAAATCTGGTGTGACGATGGGATATATCGTTACTCTCCTTCTGGTACCTCACCCACAAAAGGTCAAAATTTTGCAAAAACAAGTAAATAAAGCTGTAAGTTCGGCCGGGCCGAACTTTTAATACCCTCCACCATTTGGTACAAATTTGGCAATTTCCAAAAACATAAAATCCGTTAAAAATTCTGTTAAAATATTTAAAATACCGAATGCCTATACGACGACGTGGACCTGCATAGGCAACTTTTGTCATAAGTTATCACAATATTTAAATGCGAAACTTGAAGAAAAATCTGTTTATAATGTAGCTTAAATCATCAAAATACCGAATATAGGGGGTACCGTTATATGGGGGCTATACGAAGACGTGAACCTGCACAGACAATTTTCTGGCATGAGCTGAAGTATCCATTACGAACTTCACATGCGAAATTTGAAACGATCCTGGGAAATAATGTCGCTAAAATCATCAAAATACCGAATATCGGGGGTACGGTATATGGGAGCTATACGAAGACGTAGACCTACATGGCCCATTTTCTGTTTTATGCTGCAGTATCTATTACGAACTTCAAATACCAAATGATTCCGTTAAATAATGTCGCTAAAATCATCAAAATACCGAATATTGGGGGGTTCTGTTATATGGGGGATATATGAAGGCGTGGACCTACATGGATCATTTTTTGACTTAGGATGTAGTATCCATTACGAACTTCAAATCCCAAATTTGAAACGATTCCGGTAAATAATGTCGCTGAAATCATCAAAATACCGAATATCGGGGGGTACCGTTATATGGGGGCTATAAGAAGACGTGGACCTTCACAGGTAATTTTCTGTCTTAGGCTGTAGTATCCATTACGAACTTCAAATGCCAAATTTGAAACAATTCCGGTAAATAATGTCGCTAAAATCATCAAAATACCGAATATCGGGAGTTACCGTTATATGGGGGCTATATGAAAACGTGGACCTTCATGACCCATTTACGAACCTAACCTGCCTACTGGAAAAATAAACATGTGTGCAAAATTTTAGCCACCTATCTCAATTCATTCGAAAGATAGCGTGATTACAACAGACAGACAGACAGACGGACATCGCTAAATCGACTTAGAATTTTACGCTGATCAAGAATATATATACTTTGTTGGGTCTGATATGAGTATTTTGAGGAGTTACAAACGGAATGACAAAATTAATGTACCCTCCATAGTATGGTGGAGGGTATAAAAAAATGTATTTACTGTATATACCGATTTTGCTCCAACTTTGCAAATCCTTTGGATGGTGCACACCTAGCCAAAATGAGTGACACCTCAGCCAAAATGGGTGAAATTTTCAATTCATTTGCACTTGCTGGCACGTTCCAGCATTTATATC